GTACTTTGATTTAAAAAATAGCAATTGTTAGTTTATCTTTCTACATATAAGTATGTTTTTCAACAAAATTATCTATTTGTTTTGTTACCTTTATCATTGTATGAGATTAAACACAAGCATGGATATGATCATGAATTGACTTTGTTTTTCGAAAGTGATCATTTACAAGTTGACCCACAAGTTCGAACAACTTACAAGAGTGAATGATAATGGTGCGTTTCCACTGGCACGTAGCGAGCGAAGCGGAGCCAGCGTTTTCAATTCATTCCTATGGAAATTGAGCTTAAACGCTCGCGCGGTGTATTATGGGATTGAAAGCGGCGCGGAGAAAGCGTTGACAGCGGCTGAGAGCGTCAAAAAGATTGGGCATTCCTCGACTTTTATGCAAATGTCGAGCGAAAAACGCTGGGCGACAACCAATGGCTGTGAAAGGAAGAGGATGAAACTTTTCAGAGGCGTGCTCTACCCTAAATTTGACACGCCCCAAAGGCGTTGTAGCGTTGCCAGTGGCACTGAGCGCAGATTTGACGTAGTGGAAACGCACCGTAAAGTTTTCGGATGCAGCCATGGTACACAGTTATAGCAGTAGACCAATCACAACAGACTGGGCCATCTGACCAATCAGAGCAGACTAGGCTTACGGGAAGGAGGGGTTTAGAGAGACTGAATCATAGAACTGCTTCGAACGAATCGTTTGAGAATCGTTGGAAAATGAAGGGATATTAAATGCATATTTTTTGAGAAAACGAAAGCGTTTTGTGACCTTGCATGCATGTAAACCTATTGTAGGAGACTCCCAAAACAATATGGAACCTTAAAAATGGCATAATAGGGGCACTTTAATGTAATCTGTTTGGTTTGTTTCCGTTACGAAGGAGATATTAAACATAGCTACGTTTTCAGATGCATAATGGGAATAAGTAACATTTCATAAGCCTATATAAAAGCATCCAAAAAGCAGCATGTCATGGGACCTTTAAATCTGTTCACTTCTGTCTATGAGCAACATGACCTTGTATTTCCAGGATTCTCAAGCTTTAAACACCTAGCCGAGGAGGGACCACATTATTTTTGCAATGCTCTTTCAGAATGTACCCCTCTAGTGTGCTTTATAAGCACATACAGTGTGCGGCTCCCTGCTGTGTAAATGATTGGTTTATACTGTAGTCTTCCACACTTCGTGTTTCTCCGTCTCTGAAACGATGCTTCAGTCAGTCCCAGAGGATTCATTCAGCAGTGGGTCATTGAACATGACCGCTGAGCCCTGAATGCTCTACTTAACCTTCTGCTGTTCTGTCATGGATGTAATCACACAAAACAACATCATATCGTTTTACATTCTCAGTAACCATGTGTATTTTTAGTATGTACATTCACTTGGTGCATTTAACAACATGGGTATATTAATTGTGCTTTGGAAAAACTGACACAATCCTGTTTTGCATTTTAATAGATGTTAGGTGAAAATGTGCTGCTGTTTTGCATTTTATACAGTACACACGTTCAAGGGAAATGAACAGGATCCAGATCTTATCTCATTTTCTATTAGCATTCAAACTGAACTGAAATGCAAAGAAAAGAAAGATATATAAACGATAATGGTGATGATATAGATTTGAATATTTAGAATAAGTTGAGTATAAAAATTATTTTGATTCATTTAGTGATTCCTAAAGCCATCTGCAGATACATCATTTCGTCAGTAGGTGGCGACTCCCCTGAGCGAGTCAATTAATTAATAATAATATATTATATAATTACATTATATAATTATAATGTAATAATGATTTATTTTTAAACTTTATATAATGTTTAAATAATAAATTATTCTAAATAAAATAATAATTACAATTAAATAAAAAATTTTAAAATAATTAAACAATAAAAAAAAAATTTATTTAGTCAACACGACCAATTCTTTTAAAAAAAGAATCTAGTATTATAATTACACAAGTATATACAAATAGAAAAATAATTATTTATTTAGTTAGCACATCAAAAATATACCTTTTTTTATACAGTCTATGGTCTAAAGCCATTTTCTTAGATTTCAGGGGCCGAGGGTGTCACCACCTGCTATATTACAAGCACAAGCATATTACAAGTGCAGCATTGTCTAACAAAGAAAAGGAAGCTGGGAAAAATAAATGGACACACTGTGGCATCATAGTGCTGGAGGGAAAAAAACAGACTGAAGTCTAACTGTTTTGTGTTACGGTGTAATGATCACAGCTGGCTGTTTTCTCCTCTCATTATGATAAAGGTATCAAGAGGCTCGCGCCAAGATATTGTGTGGGAAATGGATGGCTTGTTATTCTATAGTGACATGACAGGCTGAATGAACAATAAAAATGCGGGAAGAGGGAGAATTTTTGTCCGAGGGTCTTGATTGGAAGAGAAGGAGCGTGCCGTGATTGATTTCAGCGGGAGAGGGCGAGGAAGGAAAGTGGATTCAGGAGGTGTCTGTAATCAGAGAGACAAAGCCAAACGTACAAGTGTGGTTAAGAGACAGGTTCTGTGCGAGAAAAAGAAACGGCACACCTCCTCTTCCCTTTGTCATTTGAAATATGCAAGCTCTTGATACAGAATACCATACCTCGATCATTCCTGCCAGCACAAGACAGATGGCCTGAATCTCATTTCCACTGCAGTGCTACCTTGTCTTGGCAGCTCATCTGAAACTATGCTATTAGTAATCCCTTACATACTGTGTGTCAAGGTATAATGTACATTACAGGTTTTATGGCACCTTTAATCTGGCAAATTCCCTGTTTTGTTTTGTTTTAAACCAAAGGACTGATGACACTGAATGAAGGCATGGGGTAGTGTGTTGTGGGAGCTTTGAGGAGTGAAATATAATGAGGATCTGGATTACAGGAGACAATAAAGCACAGTGTGATTTGATTGTTATCGAATTGTGAGTGGATTCATGCTCCCAAAGGAACAGTGATGGCAACGAAAAACCAGAAGAAAATATGTATGCAAGTTCACGTACGATGCAGATGTGAATTATTCAATTAATACATCATAATCAAATAAAACCATAAGCCCTAATAATCATAATGCATTCAAATTCAAAGCCACGATGTTCTTTCATCATCCCAGAGCATGCAGATTTTTTGAAAATATGTAGTGCAGTCAAAGCTGAATATGAATTAGCTAACCAACCTTGTTGCTGGTAAATTTGTATATTTTTATGCATTAAAATATTAAATCAAAAGATCTATTATTACATTTTGCTATTTTATAGTGTGCCTATAAATAGAAAATGCTTAAAGGGATAGTTCACCCAAAAATTTAAATTCTGTCATCTATCATTTACTCACCCTCAAGTTGTTCCAAATCTGTATGAGTTTCCTTCTTCTGTTGAACACAAAAGAAGATATTTTGAAGAATGTTGGTTACTAAACAGTTGACGGGAGCCATTGACTTCCACAGTATGAAAAAAATACTATGATGATGAAATGATGACAGAACTGTACTGAAACAGTTGCTTAGTCAGTAAAATGTTTTGCTTTAACAGGTCAGTTATCTAAAAAAAAAGAAGAAGAGCACAAATGTTTTTGGCACATGGTACATACATGGCAGCCAAGGAAAGAGTTGACATAATAGCCCAGATTGTGCATTACACTAAAACAACGACAGAGGGCAGTGTGGAATAAAACACGATCTCTACACAAACGTTTCTGTGGTTTAACTCCTAACGTTTCTTTCTCAAAACATTTAAGTATACATATATACCGCAATAAAAGAATCGCCTGAGGACCAAATTAATCACTCGTGGAAACAGGAGATGGCAAATCCGAGCACAAGTACTCAAATCCATGTCTGTCCGACTGTTGACCTGCATCATACTGATTACACTGAATTATGACTGGTTTAACCACTGGGTGGCGCTTCTGTCTTTGCTGATCCAGGGTTTGTTTCATATTACAGTCATGTCCTGTTTGCCCATTGTGGGTATAGGATTAAAACCTGCTTAGTGACAGTTAACGTTGTTAAGAACGATGTACAAACAAGTCTTTCTCAGGCTTCTGTAATGTATTCTGGAATAACACGTTTTTTTTTCAAAGACAACATTTTCACAATACTGATAAATGTTTATAATGAAACAAATTTCATGATTTAATTTTTTATTTTGAATACTTGTGATAAGTGTGCTCTAAGTCTTAAGATTAAGGTTCATGTAAGATCTTTCGATGAATTTCCATGACTTTTTTCCATAACATTTTCAGATTTGAGTAATTTCCATTATTATTCAAGCTGTTTGTGACAGATTAGGTTTTGAGAGTTTGCACTAAGGGCAACTGTCTTGCTCTTTTCTTTTCTTTTTATTTGATTAATTTCCTTGACATTTCCAGCTTTTCCATGACTGAGCACTAACCAGGTCACCTGGAACTCATACTCTTGTTTGAGTACCACTTCAGGTTCTGACCTGTTCTTTCAAACCCAACTCAACAAGGATTTTAGTTTTAGTAGAAGAGATCAAAAGTTACCCGATTGCTTGTCAGAAATGCTTTCTGTGCAGGATGACCCATTGGATACTAAATTGCAGATATGGTCTCCCTGTTGTTGTTTTGCTGAAAGCAAGAGAATGATTTCTGCCATCAGACTGTAACCTTACCCAGCCCAACTCCATAACCATTAGGTTACCTCCACCCTCTACTAATGGATTTGAAAGGGCTTTTCAGTTCACTTTCACTATATAGCTTTATCTGAATGAATGAATAATTGATGTTTTACTGTATGAACTGATAACGTAAGTGCATAAAAACAAAAATAAAAAAATGTAGTAAACTATTTCATTTGACTATTTTTTTATGGTGTGTGTGTATATATAATTTCAAAATCGAAATATTTATATATATAATTTAGATGTGGAAAATTATATATATTTTTTACTTTTACTTGTGTTTGTATATAATTATATTATATAATATTAATGTAATTAATAATAAATAAGTAGATAAATATATATAAACTTCACCCACACTCTTCCATTTTAATAGGGATCATTTATTTATTATGCCACGCATATAGAACTAACACTTCTCAAAAGCAACACAATGCACATACTCATGCTGCACACGGCAGCACAGTGAACAGCTTTAGATCTTTGCTAAAATACTCAGTGGAGCACCAGAATCACTACAACTCACAAGCAGCTAAACAAAGTTCTCTCACACAACACAGAGACACAATTAAAGGACTGATGCTATTTGGATACCAAAGCATAGATGGGGATGGGGACAGGGGCTGTCACGGAGAGCAGTGTTCTGTGCCATTGATTATAGATCTGGACCTTTGAATTCACTGTTTCCATCTAGTCTCCATTCTACAGGAGCTGGCGTTGCGTGGCGTTATGTGTGGGAGAGTAAGCACAATGAACACACTAAGACTGATGACGGGTTGCCGCTTCAGATGGGCTTCCTGAAGTTCTTGCCAGCAAAACGAGCCTTGTCACCAAGCTCCTCCTCAATCCTGCCGATGTCAAACAATGCCAAAATCAGTCTTGGACTTTCACTCACTTTAAACAACTCAAGATGTGCAGACTGGTACTTAATGTGATGTTGTAGAGTTGTAATGATTAGTAAGAAGAAACTATGCAGGAAAAAAAGAAATCATGCATCTTGAATGGAGCTTTAGTAAATAAATGAACATTAATGAGTTGAACTTACAATGCCATTTAAACATTTGAGGTTAGTAGGATTTTTAAGTCTCTAATGCTCACCAAGGCTTCATTTATTTGATCCATAATACAACAAAAATGTAATATTGTAAATTATTACAGTAACACAGTAATATTATGAAACATTATTACAATTTAAAAGAACTGTGTTCTATTTGAATATATTTTAAAATGTCATTTATTCCTGTGATGGCAAACCTACATTTTTAGCAGCCATTTCTCCAGTCTTCAGTGTCACATGATCTTTCGGAAATCATTCTAATATGCTGATTTGGTGCTCAGTGAACATTTCGTATTATTATTAATGTTGAAAACAGTGTGCCACTTAATATTTTTGTGGAAACTGTGAATAAAGTTCAAAAGAACAGAATTTATTTGAAATCTTTTGTAACATTATACAGCAAATGCCACTTTTGATCTATTTAATGTATCCTTGTTGAATATTGATTTATTAAAAAAAATTCTGACCCCAAACTTTTAAACTGTAGTGTATTTTATGTGAGAAGAATGACAGTTGAGGGCAATGAGTGAGCATTTGGTTGCTTGAGACAATAGTCAAATATAGTGTACAGTTGTTATGCAAAATTTTGCAAAATTTGACTGCATAATGCAACAACTGACCAATCAGAATCAAGTATTCAAGACAGAGAGCTAGTTTAATGATGTAGAAATGCAACCGCTCACCTCAGCAGCTGATTATACTTGGCCAGGCGCTCAGAGCGGCAGGGAGCACCAGTCTTGATCTGAGAGGGAAAAAAAGACAATATACTTTGTAATTCCCTACATAGCATTGGTCAACCTTAGATAAGATGGTGCTTGGCAAGCTTTGTACCTGGCCAGTGCAGAGTCCGACCACAAGGTCAGCGATGAAGGTGTCCTCTGTCTCTCCAGAACGGTGGCTGACCATCACACCCCATCCATTAGACTGGGCCATCTTACAGCTAAACAAAGGAAGACGGACACAAAACACATTACATATAAAACCACATGAACCTGAATTTTAGTTAGTTCTTCTATAAAAAAAATACATGTCCATAGTGTGAGACATCAGCAATACATACGCCTGAAGGGACTCGGTGACGGATCCGATCTGGTTGACTTTGAGCAGCAGGCAGTTGCAGGCCTTGTCAGACACGGCTTTAGCGATGCGCTTGGGGTTGGTCACAGTGAGGTCATCACCCACTACCTGGATTTTAGTGCTGGCTGTGAAGTTGGTCCAGGCCTCCCAGTCATCCTGGTCAAAAGGATCCTCAATGGAGACCACTGAGAAGTAAAAGATAAAACTTTATCGATTTGAGCTGGATTTAAAGTATCCACCTGGTGAAGCATTAATGCATGTAATAAATAATATGTATTATATGTAATATAATATATATATATATATATATATTACATGCATGTAATAATAATAAACATTAACTGGTTTGACTGGATTTTTTTAAAGTTTTTTTTTTAAGTTTTCATTTAAATGCAGCTGAACTGTGTGAAATGTTTATTTCACTGAGAATTGTTTTGATTTCATATGATAAATATTTTAATGTTATTTTATTTGGTAATATTTATATTAATATTTAGCTGTTTAAATAAAGGATTGTTCAATTGCAGATTAGTTTATGCTGTCTTGCATTGTGAAATTTTACTGATTTCTGGAATTAGGGTCAGGGTTAGGTCTAACCCTAACTTAACAGCTAACAAGAATGAACTGTTGCTAGAATGTACGCTACTGTTCAAAAGTTTGGGATGGTATGATTTTGAAAAATGTCTCTTATGCTCACAAAGGCTGTATTTGTTTTAATCAAACATACAGTAAAAACAGTAATACTGTGAAATATTAATACAATTTAAAATTAATGTTATCTATTTGAATATATTTTAAAATGTAATTTATTCCTGTGATGGCAAAGCTGAACTTTCAGCAGTCATTACTCCAGTCTTCTGCATCACATGATCCTTCAGAAATCATTCTAATATGCTGATTTGCTGCTCAAGAAACATTTCTTATTATTATCAGTGTTGTGGAAACTGTGATACATTTTTCAAGGATTCTCTGATGAATAGATCATCCAAAAGAACAGCAATTTTTTTGAAGTAGAAATCTTTTGTAACATTATAAATGTTGCTGAATAAAAGTATATAATGTAATAATTATATAAAATGTAATAAGTATATTAAAAGTATTAAATGTTGTTGCTGAAAACAAAAAAAAGTACTGGCCTCAAACTTTTGAACAATAGTGTAACCTGCAATGTTTTTTTTATTAAGAGATTAATAAATACACCACATATTAATGCACTAGGGTGTATTTATATACAGTGTTATTCTCTAGTGAACTGCTGACCGGCCTCAAGGGGGTTAAATCACCCCTGTTAAGACTCTCACCCCCACAGAAGGGTTTCATTTACTGCTGGATCTCTTCAGACACCTGTCTTTTTTAGGAGATCTAAAGATACCCGACACACATGAGGGAAGAATTTGTGTTTGGGTAAACACACTTAGATTAGGAAAATTTGTTTTTGGTAACACTTTACACTAAGGTTTAGCATAAGTTAATGCACTATGATCCTTAGTTAACAAATAACAATTATTATTATTAATTACATTTGTCTAATGTTTATAACTTGTATACCTAGATGCTCTGACTTCAGATTTGCACTAAGCAGTTGTCACTGGCCGTCTGAGGATCACAGTAGAGCAGTGTTTCTCAGCCCTGGTCCTGGGCGCATTACAACAGTGAGCGCAAGCTAGATTAAATTGATTATTACGTTTTAAATATGGTTATTTTTCTTACAAAAATGCATCGATTCGCTACAGGACGACTTTGTTCACCCCCCACCCCGGAGCTGTGCGAGACACTTTTTATTAAGGATGGGCGCTTTTTATTTAACTTCTTTTGGACTGATGCACTGCAATACCCACTGAGTGCCATTAAACAGTTTGTAAGAGCAAAGACAATTTTTAATATAACTCCGACTGAAGAAAGTCATATACACCTACTCCGACTGGATTCGTCTGAAAGAAGAAAGTCATATACACCTAGGATGACTTGAGGATGAGTAATTTATGGGATAATTTTCATTTTTGGGTGAACTAAACCTTTAATCATATTAATATGCTTACACTTGTTTTCAGTGCCATCCATATCAAGCATCAGCTTATCAATCTTCTCCTGCTCCAAGACTGACACGTTCTGTTGAAGCACAAAAGATTGATTACTGACAACATCAAATATTTTTCAAGGAGAATGACATTCCCACAAAACTTCATTTAGAAGAAATTAGAACAAATGCAATGTTATGGCATTCAAAGTATTGTGAGGTTAGGGGGAGGTTTTCATCTTTAGATAACTGTCTTTAGAAATGACAAAACGCTAATATGAATTCAAATGTTAGTTAATATTCACAACAAGACACTTACCACTTCAAATAATGGTCCAAAACTTATCTAATTCTCTCAAATAGTCTTTCAGTACCTCTCTTGTATATTATGAATAACCACAACTCAACAACAGTATACATTATCATGTTAGTCAAAGAACAAATATTCCTACCTGGCTAACCAGAGCAGGTGCAATTGATTTATTGATATGCTCAACAGCTTTTGAGACACCTGCAGGGACACAAGCAGACCATCACTGATCCAGGCCAAGGAGTGGATGAACATGCAGAGCAGACATGACTAGATGATCACAGAGCAATTGAGTGCTTTATTGTCAATGAGAAAATCTGTGATCATCTACAAATACCTGCTATGGTTAGTCGTCAAAGCAAACCCAAAGGCTCATGCTGCTTCTGTGCTATATCAAAAGGGGTTAAGTTCCTCACTTCAGTTAATACACACGCTAATTTACCTGATTACACAAAGCAGGGGCCAAGAATTCATTTACATATTTAACAGCTCTTTTCACCCCTGACAGATGAGAAAAGATGGCAGAGGAGAGAGGATGAGAGGAGAAAAGAAAAACGCTGCAGTGCAGATGGATACCATTGGAAAAAAACTCTGGAAATTATGGATTTCACAGAAATAAAGAAATTAATATAATAAATGCAATACATTCTTAATTTTATTCAGATTTTTCTCTGGATGTTATTATGATATGAAATATACATTTGATATGTATATTTGTAAAACATTACAAATCAAGCATGATTCAAAAGGAATTTTCACAGAAAATTTAATTAGATTTTTATACACTACTGTTAAAAGATTTGTGGTCAATAAGATTTTTTTAATGTTTCTGAAAAATTCTCTTATGCTTTTTGTTTGATCAAAAATACAATAAAACAGCCCTGTAAAAATATTTTTCTATTTGGAAATTTTTTTTAAATAAAATAAAATGTAATTTATTCCTGTGATGGCAAAGCTGAATCGTCAGCATCATTACTCCAGTCTTCAGTGTCACATGATCCTTCAGAAATCATTCTAAAATGTTAATATGCTCACAGAACATTTCTTCATGAGTCTTTGATGAATAGAAAGTTTTAAAAATATAAATATAAAATGTCTTTCCCGTCACATTTGAACAATTTAATTTGTCTTTGTTGAATAAAAGTAATTTTTCCAAAAAAAAAAAACCCATCTTACAGACCCCCAAAATGTGATTAGTAGTGTATATTTTTTCATTCTCGTATTATTAATAGGTCTAATACAATACATTTCAAAAACACTTGATTTGATTTGTCAAGCAATAATATATAAAACTCTCAAACAATTTTAAACTTTAATATCTCAAAAAGAATAGTGATGCTTTGAAATATTAATTTTACAAACTGAATATCTGAAATACAAACCTTTGCCCAGATAACGTGTCTTGTCATTGTCACGGAGTTCAAGGGCTTCATAGATGCCAGTAGAAGCACCACTGGGCACTGCAGCTCTGAAGAGACCTATGGAAAAATAAATACAAGGAAACCCGTCAATGGTTATAAATATGTACAAACAACCCTGCTAATTTTACAGAAATCTGTTTCCAGAATTTCCTACTAGAACCAATCACAACTGGTCTACCATATAAGGAATTGTAGGACACACCCCCTCACTGCAGAAGAGATTAGGCAACAGAATCACAATGTATACAATCTCTGCATACCAGCAGCAGACTACATGTCAATATATAGTATATAATATCTTTTAAAAATATGTAATTAATTAAACAATTGATAAGCATGGTACCGCAACATAGGAAGTGACGTTAAGGGGGTTTCCTCTTGTGATGTAACCAACTAAGAGGGACACCCCCGATTGAGGTTGGCATACCTGCACTACATGATGGCACATTTCAACTCAGAGTGTGGCAAATCTGCACATGCATATTCAATCAGCTCGGCTGAGTGAATGTAAGTCGATTGCCAGAGTGTGCAGATGAAAACGGATTTAAAGCTTAACCAGAAATTCATCAACTGTTACACAGTGTGTCTACCTAACCAATCATTTCTTCCAAGCAATGGTAGAGAATCCAAACCTACAAAATAGCAATAACTGAGTGCAAAAATGGCTAGTTTTGATCTTTGTAACACATCTGGGTTCATATACTGATCCAATCATTTATATCAAATGCTTTGTCAATCCAATGAAACCAATTCTTAGAAATTGTGCACTATTAAAACAACTCAAAGCTATGCTTTAGGCTGTATTTTTCCAGCCCTCATACCAATCAAAACACATTCATTAAGCTCTGCTCAAATACACACAGACACATTAGATTTGGGTGAGTTGTCTCCACTTGTTTTCATACATCTGGGACTGAGGGGAAAAATACAGAAACATTAATAAACATTCTACACAGTCCCTATAAAACACCACATTCATCACCTTCATACACTAACCTGGCAGAGTGTGCCAACTCCCTCTCTCTGTTCCGTACAATCTGGCAGAAGAGACATTCTACATATTTGATCTCTTGCCAGCCTCAATCTTTCAAAATGGTCATTCACTAAACATAATTAAAATTGCACCGCCTTGTGATACATTTGTGTGTAGGGCACAAGACAAAAAGCAAGTTACAAAATCAAGTATTTGCTTTTATACACTGTTGCAAATGAGCAAAACACTAATGAATGGATGAAATATATATATATATATATATATAATTACTTTCTGTGTTCTTGTGCAAACTGCCATACTGTAGCAATGCAGTCCAACTGGATTGTATTACTTCGGCTATTTATAACCACCTACCACCTGATACGTCGACTCTGAGCTATTGGACACCAACATGAGGGCCTGAATAGGCAGAGAGCAGCTCAGAAGCTCACCCATGTGAAACTGCCACAGCATTCAGGACTGTACGCCCCAATAACACAACATACAATGTCAATAACTGTCGCTTTGTATTGATGTTGAACTTGTAATGGACTGTTCTGCGGTTGTAGAGACAGTGGTAATGGACGATGCTTTTTATCTCAGAAATGGTCCCATTTTTGCACTTGCTAGCTCATTACAAAATGGATTAAACCTCCTGAAAGAATCATCAGATCAATATACATTTAATGTGATTCTAAATAAATAATAAAGTAAATAAAGTAAATAATACAATGAAAAACAATTACATTTTGAAGTACTTTTAAAATTTTTCAGCATTACATACTAGAGCCCGACCAATATATAATTTTGCCGATATTATCGGCCGATATGAGCCTGTCGCCGAATATATCGGTATCGGCGAATATGCCGCCGATATGAATTTTTTTTTTACAGAACATAAAACACAGATAAAATGCTTGAAATGGTGTAATTACTTAGTTTGTCCAGCAGAGCATGCTCCATTGTTTGCTACTGGCGACCTGGATGAATCGCTTTAAAGCTTAAGTCTATTGAAAACCATTGAAACTTTGAACGGCCATATCTCTGTAACGGCGCGGCAAATCCACACCAAATTCGGGGGATCTTTTCAGCTCGAGGAACCCTCTCGAATGCGAATCGAGTGTACGTCTAGAGGCCCGCTTTCGAATGAGACCACCCCCGCGTCGATAGCCCCCGGGGTTCGGGAGTTACGGGTGGATAAATTTGCGGTCCGGCGCCAACCGATCAAGCGATCCCGAGGGGCTACTGACACGCGGAGGGTGGCGTTCGA